GGCCTGCTAGCCTAAGACTGATTTCTAGGTTCTTCCCAGCCACTGGCCAGAGGTACTAACATGACTAGCTAGTGACTAGTGAGGGGGCCTGGTTCTAGGGTGCAAAACTGGGGAGCTGAATTGATGGTGCTGAGCCATCTCAGTGGCTTGATATGGACTACTAGGCCCCTCCATCCAGGCTCTGGCTTCAAATACAATTTGTCCTCTCTTCAGCTGCCTATGGCTAGCCAGAGGTGCCTGCTTGACTTTGGTTTTTGCAGGCTTGGCCAAGTTGCCTGTTGGCTCTCAAGCCCCTGTGACAGGGGGTCTGGTTCTGGGGCACAAAGTCAGGGGGCTTAACTTCTCTTCTTCAAGCTGACAGCTCCAGGACACCAACACAAATACAGGACAGCCTAAGTGAGGAGTGGGCTTCCCTCACTTTCTGCTACTCAAGTGTGCTTCAAACCTGAACAAAGGAACCCACTCAAGCAGAGAAAGAAAGAAAACTTCTCTCTTCCAATTCCATTTTGGACGTCCTGCTGTCTTAGATCTGGCAATAATCCATATCTCCTTTAGACCTATAGTCTTGAACTGTCCCTACCAGCCCCATTGGCAGGGTGTATGAAACTTTTTTGACCAGCACTAGGAGAATTGTACATAAAGGAACAGGGAGATCTTAATTTTTCTAATGCCTTGGCCGTCATGTGACTAATTACATGGCTGAGCCATTATTAACAGAACAAATAATTTGAATACAAATCACCATAGTATCAGCAACACTGTTGTACCACATTGTCATATGGTCATGTACTGGGATATCTGATCTGCTCTAAATAATTCAGGAAGTGGGGTTTGAAGAAAAGACACTTGTGCTGGAGCCTGCTGAGTGTAAGTGTTGCTCAGAGCTATGGCAGGTCACTGCTGTCTTATAGCACCAAATACTGGAATCTTTATTCCTGCAATTTCCGACTGATTTTAGTAGCATAGCATTGCCACCTACCCCTGTCATCTCTTGCTGGGTCACAATACCAGCACATTGCATTGTGATGCAAACCTGAACAGGTGCCAGCCTGGGCCCAGCACATCAGTGGTGGGCACATGGAAAAGTTCATCCCTTGAAGTGTAAGCCCCTCTTCATATGAGGACAGCATGTGGCAGTTAGGCCATTAATGCTCTGGGTGTGAGGATTTTTATAGGGAGCCAGGAGGATTCAGTCCATCTCAGCTCATTTATCTGCACAGAGAGGTAGTTAGCCATGTTGATTTGAAGTCGGGAAGAAGGCAAAGTAGATGTGCAGCTTATGGATTAAATCAGAGATGCAGGAGCTTCTGTGAGCAAAAGCTCACTTCAGCAGAGGCTAGGTGAGAGGACACAAGAGCCTGCTCTCTGCATGTCCTTTCATAGCATCTGATTAAGTTATCTTCTGCTCACGAAAGATTCATAATACAGCAGTGATTCTCAACCGGGTACTGTGGTGCCTTGAGATCCTTCAGAGGTGCTGTCAATGTCCGCACTGTTAGGTGTGCACACACGATTCACAAGATAGACACAAGATGGCCCAGCCAGGTGCTTGTCCAGTCTCCTCTTAAAGACCTCCAGAGTAGGGGAGAGCACCACCTCCCTTGGGAGCCCTTTCCAGATTTTGGTCACTCCAACTGTAAAGAAGTTCTTCCTGATTTCCAATATAAATCTGCTCTCTCTCAGTTTGTGGCTGTTGTTTCTAGTTACCCCAAAGGGCACCCTGATAAACAGAGCATCTCCTATTCCTTGCTGCCCGCCTCGCTGCTGAATTTGTAGACGGCCACTAGATCCCGTCTCGGCCTTCCGAGGTGGATTTCCAGCAGGGATCCACAGCGGTAAAAACCTTCTGGCCTGTTGTGATCTTTGCGTTCTTTGCAACCGAAGAATTGCTCTGTCACAGTGGTTCTCAATTTCACGAGGCCTGAAGCACCCCTGGACAGATGCAAGGCACCCCTTGGAGCATGCCGCCTCTTTGTTTTCACTTGTTCTTTGGCCACGGGAAAATAAGAGAGTAATTCTCCTGTTGCCAAGACCTCAGAGCGACCACAACGGGGCAGGAGGTTTTTAAATTGCTGTCAAATCTCTGGCTTTAGCACGTGAATCACGGGTGCTCACACTGTGTGGCACCCCACAGCACCCTCCAAAGGATCTCGGGGCACCCCAGGCCTGGTTGAGAATCAACTGCTCCAGCACATTTCCCTAGTAAAAAAAAAAAAATCAGTGGCGGGTGAGGGATGACATTTTCCGGGTTGGGAAGGTCTAAAAAAAGAGGGAAGCCCTCCATTGTGTGCATTGATCTGCAATGACCCATCTTCACCGGCAGGGGGCGTTGAGCGCGGCCTGACCCCTTTTGTCCCTCGCGCGCCGCCGTCGCTCCGGCTGTTGCAGCGTTTGAATGGGTGGAGCGGGCGAGGAAGTTTAAATCGGGGGGCGGGGATCCCTGCGACGCCGAGGGCCTCAGGGCCCGCGCCCGCGCGCCCCGCCGGAGGCCCCCTGCACCCCGGCCGACCCGCGGGGTGGGGGGGAGCGGCCTTGCCTTGCCTTGCCTTGCCTTGCCCTTACACTTGCTACCGGCTGGCTTCGCTTGGCGACCCCTCGCTCTTGTCCTGGGGGCGAGAGTCCGTCCCAAGTCCCACGCGCTGTCTCTTCGCCGTTTCGTATTTTGTCAAAGTCTCGTGTCCGCCCTTGATGGCCCATCGTCCTCGCTGCCCTTTTCTGTCCTCTCTGAGGTGCGGTGTCTGGAGCTGGGTGCAGTAGTCGAGAAATGGACACGCCAGGGATTTACAAAGGGGCTGTGGAAGAGGAGACTGGGGGGGGTTAGTAGCAGCTTTCAGCTACCTGCAGGGGGGTTGGAAAGAGGATGGAGCTAGACTGATCTCAGTGGTGGCAGGTGACAACCAGGAGCAGCGGTGTCAAGTTGCAGCCAGGGCAGTTGAGATATTAGGAAGAATGTTCTCACTAGGAAGGCAGTGAAACGCTGGAGCAGGTTACCCAGAGAGGTGGTGGGATCTCCATCCTTGGGGGCTTTCAAAACTGGGCTGGATAAAGCTTTGGCTGGGATGATGTAGTTGGGGCTGTGACTTCCTGAGGTCCCCTCTAGCCCTCATTTTCTATGATGTTATTTTCTGTTTTGTTTGCAATTCCCTTCTTAATGATCTCTAATTAATAAGAATCCTTCCTTAATAATCTCCTTACGCTTTCCTTCAAAGGAGTGCTGTGATCTCTACCGGGCTTTCGTCCCCTGGTTGAGAATTACTGAGCTTGTATCTAAGGCTAACAGCCTCAGTTAGATCCAGAGCCCCCGTTTTGACTCGGATTAACCTCACTTGATTCCCGGGGCAGATATTTCACAAGTACGTGGGACAATGAGCACGTACCTCTGTAGGATCCCAGGATAAATATCTTTGTCCCAGGCTAAACTGGCTCTCTATGTTTACCTTCACTTCTTCTCCAGGCAATGGGATAGTTTCCCATCTGGAGCTATGTGGGGTTTTAGAGGAGTAATGCAGTGGGGTTTTGGAGGAGTAGATGGCAATTACTGGTATGGAGACCTGGCAAGTGGCTTGGGGTAATGCCTAGCTCTTAAACACACTGCCATTGCTCTTCTCTGTGATGAGAGTGGGGAACAGGGGGAGGGATTCAGGGAAACAATAGGAGACAGCATTGTTTCTTCTTTGGAACTGTGCTGGGTTCTGTGTTGCTCTGTAGTATTTGGGTCTGTTATCCCTGCTCCTCCTATAGACCCTCTTTACTTCCCACCACCCATATGACCAACATAGCGGTGTGTCTTTTTAGTAGCTCAGGTGCACTGCAGAGCAGACAAAGGACAAAGACGACGCCTAGGAAAGCAGTTGGAAACAGCTGGCTCCTCCTGTAACCAGCCTTTCTTGGGGAAATCCTTCTACCTGGACCTGCCAAACAACAAGAACACACAGTTTCTGCTGGAAACCATAAAGCATCTGGGTGGGGTGAGTATGAAGGAACCTCTCCCTGGGAAAGCTCAGAAAAGATGAAGCAGCTGTGCATTAGCTCCAGAAGAGGCAAAGGAGTGATCAGTGCTTTAGGAGCATGGTGTTAAGGGCCAGGAGTGCATGGATTTGAGGGAGGCAGTGGAATACAACATACCTCTTTTAAAAAAAAAAAAAAAAAAAAAAAAAAAAAAAAAAAAAAAAAACCAAAACAAACAAACCCAAACCAGACCCTAACATACTTTCTAGTGGTGTATTCCTGAGTAGCTCCAGGCAGTTCACTGCTTGTGCTCCCATTTCCCAAGTGAAGGAGGCCTAGATTGTTCTCAGGGCTACATATGAGGCCTGTTTCATCATCATAGTTGCTTATAATTCTCTTCACATGGAGCTTAGCTTTCAAAATGGTTCTAATCCAATGGTGCTCAACTTTCTAGCTCCATTGGCCCAGTCCCTCAGGCAGGGTTGGGCCTCAGGCCTGATCCAGCATGGGGTCAGTGCACCACATCAGGCTGTGATTTGATCCCGTGTGCTAGTCTGACCCTGTGCATTGAATCTGGCCGTGTGGTGACCCCGTGAGCTGGTGCAGTCTGGATCATGGGCTGAACTCAGCCCACAGACCAGAGATGATCACTACTGCTCTTCAAAAGCTCAGAAGAGTCCATTTCTACCTAGCCCTGACTTACCTAGGTACCTAAATGGGAGCTGAGCTCTCAAACTTGGTGATTTCAAAAACAGTCCTTCTGGGGAGTAGGTAGCATGACCATACATCCTAGTTGGCCTCAACAGTCCTGGATTTCGTAAGTTGTCCCGACTGGTTGGTGAAAATTGAAACCAAAGACCTGAAATCGGCCACCTAATGTGATCTCTTCTTTCTCTACTGCTCATGAGTGTGTGGCAGCAGTGCCAGCCTTAGGGAAAAAGGCACCCTGGGTGAACTTGTATTTTGGTGCCTCCCTGCCACCCAAGTCAGAGGCAAGAGAGCAGGGGTATGAAGCACAGTCTGGTGGGGAGGCAAAGGGGCATGGAGTGCCAGGCGTGTGGACGGGCAGGCATCGTTGCTACTGTGCAGGAGCAAAGTGGGCAGACTGGAGCAGGCACCACCCTGCCTGCATGTGCCGACCTGGCTTCTCCTGAGCAATGGCTAGAGTTGGAGGGGTGAGCTGGGCTGGGCTGGGCTCCAGTACACCTGCCTTACTCCTGCACAGCGGCAGTGTTGCCTGCTGGCCTGCCTGCCTGGCTCATCATGCTGCTCTGCCTTCACTTGAAATATAGTGTCCCATATTTCCTTAAAAATAATATGGTCACTGTAGGATTAGGTGACTCTGGATGAGGTGTTTTGGGTAGAGGACCTGGGGAAGAGTTCTGTGCACACGTGTGAATTAACTATGGGCTGTATTCAAAACCTTTATTTAGTCCATGCTGGCCAGCATGACTGGGAGGAGGGCTGAGTAGAGAAGGCAGTAAGGGATGGTGTTGGATGTGAGAAATTGCTTATAAAATACAGACAATGTCACATTCAACTTCTCTTGCCCACTGGGCAGCTGCAGGTGGGGTAAGCTAAAGGCAGCGGTTACTTCATTGAATGGCTATTAAAAAGTTTCAGATTTTAATATACTGTTGTGGTTCTGCAGCTGGTTATATTTTTATCTCTGACTCCAGATGATCGAAAGCTTTCTGAGCAAAGAAGTCAGCTACGTGGTTTCCAGCAGCAAAGAGGCCAAACTAGACAGCAGGCCTGGGAGGCAGACCAAAAAACAAAGCAGCACTGCCTCCTGGGATGACAAGGCAAAGATCCTGCCCTCTGTTGCATCCAAAGGGGGGTGCCATGCAAGGCCTTCTCCCAAGCCAGCAAACAGTGTAAATACTGTAAGTATTCAAGGCTTGAAGCAGAGGTGGTTTTGAGAGGGGAGGGCCAGAGAACATCAGTGGATATGGGATGTGCTTGACTCAGCCTTGCTTGAACACACCTGCTCTGTGCTTGTCTGTGAGCAGGACTGGGACACTGATCAGTGCCTCCTGTTCTTGGGACAGGGGCTGAAGCTGTGAGGTTTTGTAGTTTTCTAGTATATTCCATCCCAAATATTCTGTAATCCATCTACAAGGATTGGTAGAACAGCCATCATATAGCAACACTATGGTATGCAAGGTAGGCTAACAAATGAAACAACAGAGGAAAGTATTGGGAGGTAAACTGACCCCCACAGCACAGCTGGGATGTTCACATTGACATGATGACATACCTAGGAAGACTATCAAAACTTATAACTTCCTGTTAAACTCATATTGGTTTATAAATGAATGTATCCTCTTAACGTCATGCAGATGCTCAGGGGTGCTGGTGTCCAATAGCACAGTATAACAGGTAGTTCAAGCTGAAGCTGGAGAGCTAGCTCAAATACTGAAAGAAATTGTTTGTCCATCTGATAATATCTGATGAATACTAGTAGACGATTTACTTCTTGTGTGGTGTTGGCTCATGTCCTGCCTGATTTGTTCTGGTACTGCTTAGTGGGGAAGAGATGAATCTTATCCTACCCCTTAAGAGTAAGAACAGATCTTCCTGTTACTGGACTGGGCAGCCCTACTCACAAAGGAGAAGAAACATCAGGGAGTTGCCGTTGGCTTGTCAAACTGGGGAGGTCAGTGGGGCTCCCACCTGTCCTTTCCCACCTGCAAGGAAAACTTCAGGATTACACTTCTCATGTTTGGCACTCCTCTGCCTGACTTGGGGGCAAGCAGGGTGGATAAAAATCAAAGATTTATTTTTAAAAAAATTAAAAATCGGATTTTAAAAATTTAAATTGGAATGTTTTATTTAATTGTGTTTTTTTGGGGGTTTTTTTTGTGTACACACAGTCAAGCCCTTACCTTTCTCTAAAAGTGCAAAGTTTCAAGAAGTCAAATGAATAAAGGATATCTAATGACAAGAATGCACTTTTTGTAGAAACAATGATTAAATCGAGGCTTCCTGACCAGTGATTTAAATCATGATTTAACTTGATTTAATCTAAATCAAATCCATCCTGGGTGCAAGATATTACTATACAACAGCAGTTCAACGTTGTCTTGCCCTGTATATTGGGAGATCTGGAAAGGCAGAAATTAGGGCTGCCAGAGAAAAGAGTCCTTCCCATGACCTAGTCAGTGGGAGCTCTTTAATGGTTTGGGTAGGCAAAGATTTTGAGTAATCAGTGACTCTGTGGAACTGCTTATGCTTTATAGCATATAAACTGCTGAGGGGATGAGGCTGCTCATGACTACTGATAGCTTGCCATGTTAATAATCTAGAAGTAACCTCCAAGAATTAATGAGAGACCCTGCTACAGTATGTCCTATGCTGGATGGTCTGACACAGAAGGTCAGATGGCTTCACTTCAGGCATAGGGAATTTCCCCTTGTCTTCCTGCTGCATTACCCACCTGGACCCCTGCTGCAGGCTGAGCCAGGCTGCTGGACCTGACCTGCAGGTGTGGATATGTATAACTCTGGCTTTTCCTGGCATGTGTTGTAAGGTTGCCTTCCACCCTTGAGATGGAGTGTGGAAAGTGGAGCCTCACAAGATACAAAGGTTGCTTGTGGCTGCTCAAGAGAAGCCAGTCATTGGCCAATGGAGGGCATCTTCAGTGTAGAGCTTAACATAGGGGGAAATGCTCAGACTTTAAAAATCTCCCTCCCTAGGGAATGCTAAATCCTGTTGCTCAGGAGTGGGAAGCATAGAATGGAGGTGATGCTTTGAAGTGCAGTGGCCTCTGTATAACACTGAGCTGCCCAAAGGGAGTAGGTCGTATGTGCTGCTCCCACCTTTCTGACTTCTGCTCTAACATGCTGCTTGCTGTGTCTCTTCTTTCAGGCTCTGATCAGCAGGGGAAAGGAGCTGCTGCAAAAAGTCATAAGGAACCAGGTGAGTAGCAAACTGATGCGCTTTCTGTATAAATGGGTATGTTTGAGGCACTGGGCTCCAGTCTGTCCTCAGGGCAGAGTCCCTGTTTTGTCTTCTTGTCAAACACCCTCTGGGATTATCATTGGTATAAATTCTCTATTTAAACTAGCACTTCCAGGCAGGCTTTCCAGGCAGTTTGTATTGGTTAAGGGTTAGCTGCTCATGCAGTGCCCCCCATGTTGTCTGTGTTGGACAGACCGGGGCCTTATGCCCCTGACACTTATCTTGCTACGGCCTCAGCAAACCCTTGGCTCAACAAGGCCCCAGCTTCTAGCAGCTTTTCTCCTCCCTTCATCCCTTGTTATCTTTAGTTTAATGTGGTCTCTGCTTCTAACTCAGTTTTTCTCCCACCTCTTTCTGCTACTTTCCTGGAAAATAGCACCAGGCTTGGTTGGTCAGCCATAGATATGAGTAAGGAGTTTCAAGGCTCTTAGAGATTACTCCTAAAAGTGACACACATTCCAGAAAGCTTTGTTTGAAGGAAGACTCGACAATAAGAGGACAGCTAATTGGTGCATACAACTAAATAGTGAAATAGGGTAAACTGGTGTGGGTATCTGTGGTTCCCCTCTACATGTTATATTTATACTGTGATTAATTCGTTAATCATGGCATAAGTGGCAAGAGTGCTTGATGTGCCCCTGATTTAAGGTGCCATAAAATGGGAAATGAGCTATAAAAATGTTACACAAATAATAGAGAATACTTTTGTGGCTGCTTTGTATGATGCCTTCAATTTAATCTGTGGCCCAGGCTGACAGTCATCTGGGGCTGGAACCAGGCTGGGGTTGGGAACCAGCCCTAGGACTGACAATTAGTTGACTTAAAGCCCTATGCCTGACAACTGGGCCAGAGCTGCTGAGTATGACAGTCAGCTGATTGTTGGCCCTTGTCCAGATATCCCCTGGTCTCAGATCTGGGGCTGTTCAGGTCAGAGACAACAGGACTGAGATTCTTGATCAGCTAAGCTGGAAACAGCTATTCTGCCTTCCAGTAGGATGGAACAGGCTGCCCAATCTCATTTCTCTAAATACCAGTCATTTCCAAGCGTGTGAAAGAATGAATTTTGTACTGTTGAGCAGTGACACTGCAGCTTTACCTATGGGAAGACCATGGTTTTGAAATGCAGTGGTTCTCAAAATGGTATCTAATAAAATCCTGGGGCTGATGCTGTGACAACAAGAAAAAGGATCACCCTGGCCCTTTCAGAAGGGAAGGGGAAAGAAAGCTCTTCCTTGGGACTGTCCCAAGAAGCAGCTTTATTCGGTCTCCTTCTCTCCTGACTAGTGTGACTAGCCCTAATATGACTTCATAAGGGACAAGCCCCTGACTTTGAGACCCTGGCTTTTTTCAGTTTCTGGCTTACCCAGTGAGCCATAACACCCCCACCTCTGGGACTTCCTTCTTTTTGCTCAGCTCCTGAGAAGGAGGAAGAGGTTTTCTTCTTTAAAAGAGGGTTATCAGAGTGCTAGTGCCCCAAGCAGCACAGCAAATGCTGCTTCAAAACAAGCAGTCTTTATTATGCCCTTGCAGCTCTCTCTGTCCTCATTTTTCTTTCTCTCTGTCTACTCTGGGACCTTTTCTTCTGGTCCAGCTCCCTCAAAGCTTCACTCCCCAGGGCTCAGTGAGCTACACTTGCAACAGAACAGTTACAAAATGATAGTCTTAACCTGCTAACAACACTCATCCAATACAATGAAACATTATGTCATGGGGAACAAATCAAAGAGCAGTCTGTGGCCTGCTGTCAGGCCTAGATTGCCATCTGCCCCTGGGGTGAAAAGGGCATCTAGATGTCCTACTTGAGGAACTATATACTAGCATTATTTACCATAAAGTCTGCCCACACTGAGCTTCCCAAAGTGTTCCCCACTGCAACTGCAGGCAAGAATCAAGCTTACCTAGCCTTCTTTGTCACAGGTATTTGGTCCTGTCCTTAAAGTCTCTGAATCACTTGACTGATGTGATTCAGAGTCCCGACTTGCAACCTGTCAAGGCCAGAAAAGCTGTAAGGCAGCCATTGGAACAGTGTGCATTCAGGCTGCTGACAGATGTTCATTTGAAGGCAGGATGGGATCTGATCTGCAATCCCAACAGTCATGCCTCCTGCTGTGCCACATGTGTGGCAGAAAGCACAATTTTGGAATTGGGGAACATTCCATACTACCAGTACAGGGGGAGCCAAGGATTGTGATGCTGGACTCCCCCTGCTTCAGCAAGTTGAAAGCAGAGTGCCTGATAATTAGCAAATTGTTAGCTGGCTCTGGAGATCCATGGCGTTAGTTTGGGCCCCCATGTGATTACCAGAGCTCGCTGACAGTCAGCTGCTTGGGGCCACTCTTGTGCTTGAGTCCTTGTGCAGTCCTGATCAGTTAGTCTGCTGATGGTCAGCTGATTGAGACCACAGTGGAACAGTCTTGATCAGCTGATTGTCGGTACTGTACTGGGCCAGTTACGCTTGTGCAGTCTGCTCTGCCACGCATTCAGTTTAAAGTGGGATAAAAGCCAGCCAAAAAGTTATTACATAAAATACGTGTAATATTACACATAGGTTATGTAATAGAACTTTGTGGCTGGTTTTCTGTTTCATTGTGCCGTTAATCCCCTGAATGTGCAGTTGGTTTGTGCTTTAAGATGTGAGTAACCGGTTAAGCATGTCTTAAGTGGAATGTATGTCTGGAGCTTCAGACTGGCCTTCTCTGTCCAGGTCTGTGTTTTACCAAGTCTCTTCTCTTTGTGCAGGACACCTGGGCTGGCAGTAGCATCCTTGCCAATGCTCGCTCCTGGGGTGTCCGGATCCTGCATGTGGACGGTATCCTTCTCCACGGACTGTGCATGGGAATTTATGGCTAATGATCTTCCAGTCTGTAGCTTCCTGTCAAATTAATGAACTAGGGGGTAGGTGTGATTTGGTGCATCTGGTTATGGGAAAGGAAGAATTATTCAAAGAATGGCTCACATCAAACTGAGGCTTTGCTGCTTGAGGACTCAAGGTCTCTATGGGAGTGTCTTTAGAAGTTCCTCGACTCTGTTAGCAAAAGGAGTGGACTTGGTCAGAATCCCCTTTCCCTCTTCTTTCCCTTGCACTCTGTGGCCCTTCCCTTTCCCACCTAATGCAGCTGTTGCATTCAACAATTAGAATAATGCCTGGTAGCCTTGCTGATTGACAGTCTCAAAGTACAGACAGGGGGTGACATCAGAATTGTCAGGGGTAGCAGCTTGTCCTGTTGAAGTACCTCAGTCCAAGTGATGAACCCTTACTAATGGGCACTTGCTCTCCATCTTTGAGACAGTCAGTGCCGGAGGAAAACATTGGAGCCATTTGGCGCAGATTCCTGTTGCTAGCAATGGAGTTGAGAACAAATCTTTCAGTTTAGGGCTCTGAGAGGCTGTCATGACAGTGACTTAAGGTTGCTGCTACCCTGAACTGGACTCAGATTAGTGATAAAGGCTTCATATTTACTTGTGCTTGCAGATTTGCATCCTGGCTCCAGTCTGCCAGACTTTAAGGCATAAAGTAACTTCCTCTGCATGTCGTCTGCACCGTGGAAGTGCCAGTTGGACTTGAATTATGCTCAGCTCCAGAGGTGTAACTGTCCAGTTCTCTGCCCTGGGCTGTGGCAGCACATGGTATCAGGGCTGCAGCAGCTGGAGCTTTACTGCTGCCAGGGGAGATGTCTTACTTTTTCTTGCCAAAAATTTGTGTTTAAATGGCTGTTTGACACGTGGCGGCAGCAAAAAAGGGGGATGACCTCTTTTCCCCCCTGCAGCAGCGAACCTCTGCACCATGTGCTGCTGCAATCCCCTGGGGCACAGTGCACCACCTCCGCTACTTGGCTTTCCCCTCTGTCAGAGCCACTGCAGGGAAGGTGCAGGAAGATGGGTTTGGGAGGGTGAACCAACCCCCCCCCCCCCCC